TAAAAACAGGGCATTAGATTATATGATAAAAATAATAACTTCTATATATTTATATTTTACACTTGCTCTATTCCAGGCAATATGCCAAGTGATTTGTAAACATTAATATATTGAATCTGGCATCTACACTGTGAGATAGATTTCATTGTCCCCTTAGAATGAGGAATCTGAATTGGGGTGGGACAGGGTAGGGGGTATTAAGCAACTCTTCAAAAATCACACAGCTGCTAAGTAGTGGTCTGGAGTTTGAATGAGGGAAATGTGAACCTGGTGCCTCATATTACAACCACTGTTTTCTGATCACTCAAAATCCCTGAAGCATAACTCTTACAGAACATTCAAATTGATGTGTAATTCTGTTTGTATACATATCTTCCAAATAAAATTGTAAGGTATTTGAGAATGGGAGTGATGGGCTGCTGCTACTCATTAATATCCTCTCTTTCTGGCACCAGACTCTAAAACAGGGTCAACATTGAGTAGATGTTTCATAATTTCTTCCTAAATTGAATTTTACAACGCTGAAGTCAACTCAGATAAATATATCTCCTGTTTGGCAAATCTGACTCAAACAGTAGGATTGCACTAGAACTAAGATGATGTAAATCTACAGTCATTCAGCCTGATGATTTGATATGTGTCCTTCATTCCTTTTGGCATACAATTAACATGTAACCACTGTATAAAAAGCCCGATGTGGTGGGGGAATACTAGTCATAGCCGCTGCTCTTTGGGAAGTAACAGCTCAGCCTATCAGTGAGTTTTACCTAAAGGTACCAAAGTGATACCTTAAGTCTCTAAAGTCATGTGCACAAAGAATAATTGTTATTCACATTCTCTGAAGGTGTATTGCTACACACAAGCAACTGTGTGCTGGCAAATGTTGAACAATTGCCTCTCATGGGGAAAAACAAAAGTCCTGACTTACAGTGTTTGCCAATTTCTATGGTATAAATATTCATACTGTGGCTGATTATAAGCTACCAATGTGATGTCACTGACCCCAGAGTTGGAAGAGATGTATACAGCTGGCTCTGGGGAAACCCATACGAGCAGGCTCCAGCACCCAATGAATACAACGTATGGTGGGTTCTTCCCACCACCTCCATGGAAATACAAATCAGAGAACCACTGGGAAGAAGGGGAATAGAGATGAGCTCTAAGGGAGAACTGCCTCGGAGTTGAGGAATAGTAGACACGAAGGGTATATATGAAATGTCCTTCTCTGAGCAAAAGTTTTTGAAGGCAGAGAAAGAGAAGATGCTCACCTGTCTAGGCTGGTTTATATCCAGGCCTGCCTGTAGGCAAATGGATGGGCCAGGTGACCTCTAAATGTCACACTAGCCTAAGGATTCTGTGATGCAGCGGAATTTGCTCCTAGCTTTCTTCTGCCACTGGGGACACATCAGGCTTTCTATAAACCAAAGTCAATAGTACCAGTGCACCCAGTAGAATGCTATCCACAAACATCCTCTACAGAGTTGCTGACCTACTATTAAACAGGTTAATTACAGCCAGTGGGGTACCCAGGTGCCATAGGGATTTCTAAGACTCTTCAGTCTACAACCCTGGAGAATGCAGACAAAAAAATGACAGCTCTTAACTCCTAAGGATGGCAAATGGGCCTGCATGGGCTGAGCCCTCTTCAAGGGTGCTCAGGCCCCAGCTCACCCTGCCCTGCATGGTTGGCCAGCTCAGCCAATCACACGAACTCTGCGGCTCCCCTGTCTGGCACACTACCCCTTCCTGCATATTCGTCATTCTCAAGGCTTGCGACTGCGGTCCAGGGCCTCTCCTGGGAGTTAGCAGATAATGTCACAAACTCCTGGAATCTCACAGAGAGAGCAGGGCTCAGCCTGCCAAGAAGAACGAAGGCTGTGGATGGAAGCTGTTCATTTCCCATACACAGGAAGCTTTGAGAGAATGCAAACAAACTGTCCCTGAGACTGGCTCCCACTCTGAGGAACTGCTTTCCCAACCAGGAAGGGCAGGCTATCAGGTAAGGGCTCTGGTGAGGCCTGCATCCAACAGACTAAACGCATTCCAGAAACAGTCTTAAAGGGCCCAGGGTCTACTTCTGTTTCTAAGGGGTTCAACTCCTACATGCAGGACTAATCATTCAGCGTTAACTGAGGAGCAAAAAGATGGGCTAATTTTCTGCAGGTTGAAACTCAGGCACAGGGTAACAAACAGAGCCCTGCAAAATGGCCTGGCAAGCATTATCACTGCATGGGGCAGATGGAGAATTAGACACTCAAGTTCAACAGCAAGTTGCCTGTGAGGGCAGAACTGGGAACCAGACACCTGATCCTCGGTTTATTGCTTACACAGGCCCCAGTAAATAATACAAATGATGATCCATGGGAAGCACAGCTTTTCATGAAGAGCCTGCAGACGGCTCAGCAGTAAAAGGAAAGCTGGACTCAGCACATGCCTGGCTTTCACTCGGATTCTCTCCCCTACACAATCAAAGGTTAGCACCCCACAGAGTCAACTTTGCTTTTCTAAAGTGCCACTCACACTCTTCCCCTGACCCTCTGTCCCCTCTAAACTCTCAACTTCTCCAACACCTGAGTTCTACCATTTATCCAACCATCCACCACTTGTGCGCCCATCTATCATCCCTCACCCACAAATCCAGTAATGTAATTCCTGTTAATTAAAAGCCCGCTGTGGCCCAGACACTTTGCTAGGAACTGGGGATGCTTTAGATTTGGTAGGTGTTAAGAGCAGAAGCTTTGGAGTCAGACAAACTGAGGTTCAAATACAATCTCTGCCACTTTCTTGAACCTCAAGTGCCCTTGAACCCATTACTTACCTGTCTAACCTCCTGTTTCCCTACTTGTCAATTGGGAATAGTAATAATACTTCCCATTTGGGATTATGCTGAATAGTATATAAGATGCACATACACATAAATAGTACAGTGCTTGGAGACTAGCAGGTACTTAAGAGCTTGTTCTTAAATGCTTTGGAGAGATGAGGCAAGTACGGTACAGGCCTTGACCTCAGTTTGCTTACAGTCAAACTCCAGAGTCTGCTTGTCTGGTGGATTGGGGCCTATGGGCTATGGAAGCCAGATTGTTCGCCCATTCATCTCCTATCTGCTCCTCTACTCTCTTCCTCCATTGCTCCACTCCTTTCACCCTCATTGGCTGTGCTGGCTTTGTGTAAAATGAACTACATTTCCCAGAACTCCCTCCCTGTAGGTTTCTAGTTAGGCAGAACCATAAGAGATGCTTTCCTGCAAGAATCGGAGGGTAGAAATGAAGCAACAGTCATTGTTTTCACACTTAGTAGTTTTGAGCAGGAACTGTGTTAGCTTAAACATGTCACTCTTCTACTGTCATCTCTCTTTGGTGCTGGGACCTGCTGGACATGAAACTGCTCCACCTTCCCCTGAACTCCTCTTCAGCTTCTCCAGCTCTTGGGCCAGGTGCATCTTTAGCTCCATGATGAAAGGCACCACTTCCCCTGCAGTTTACCTATTTTATCAAGGTTGGAGGCAGTAAGAACTGGCACAGACCCATCTGCACTCATGGGTTCCAGCTTTTCTGGGGGTTCAGCTCATCCTTGCTGTCCCAAGACAGGAGATAGATCTTTCTTTTTTCTTTTTTCTTTTTTTTTTTTTTTTTTTTGAGACGGAGTTTCGCTCTTGTTACCCAGGCTGGAGTGTAATGGCACGATCTTGGCTCACCGCAACCTCCGCCTCCTGGGTTCAGGCAATTCTCCTGCCTCAGCCTCCTGAGTATCTGAGATTACAGGCACGTGCCACCATGCCCAGCTAATTTTTTGTATTTTTAGTAGAGACGGGGTTTCACCATGTTGACCAGGATGGTCTCGATCTCTTGACCTCGTGATCCACCTGCCTCGGCCTCCCAAAGTGCTGGGATCACAGGTATGAGCCACCGTGCCTGGCCTGAGATAGATCTTTCTTATGTTCTTGACTGCCTGCCCCATGGACTGTTGGCTGCAGCATCAAATGAAAGACAGTAGCCCCTCACAGACTATTTAAGCAGCTACCACAATTGTGTAAGGTCCAATTCCTGTGACAAATCACTTAGGCAGCTAGGAGGGTAGGTAGATAGATACACAGATAAATAGAGACATGGCTAGATATAAATATATATGGATGTATCTATAATGTGTGTGTCTGTGTTTATATATACATATGTTTATGTATGATCTTCAAGAATCTTTGTTCACACATGTGTCAACTATTACATGTCTCTCCTCCCCGGGAGTGGGGAATATCTTTAGACTGACTCCTATCGCATGGAGGAACTTAGAGAAAAGTACTGCTTACTACCTTCCCCTCTCCACTGCTCCCCACTACCACCCCCAATACATCTTAGTACCCCTACTCTGGAACTGCCCTGATGACCTCTGCAGACTCTGGCTCTTATGTCATCCCTTGTACTGCAGAGAAAGGATAACGGCAGAATCGGATCTTGAAATGACGAGCAGTTCTCTGCGCTGGTCAAGAGATCACCCTTCACAGGAGAAGGCAGGGGACCTCCCAAATGCTGGCCTCTCTGGCATCGCCCTTGGCCCTCCTCTCATTTTGCTCTCCTCCTTGTTTATCTCATCTCTCTTAGCTTGCACATATCTATCTCCCGACCCAGGCTTTTGCTAGAGTTCACAACTTTTATTAGTGGAACTTTTTTCTTATCTCCCAATCCCATATCCAAGTCAGTGTATCTTTGGGACAGCCTTCTTTCTGTTCTGTTCAAGGCTCTGCCCATGGCACCAGTCACCAGAGCTAACAACATTGGCTCCATCTTTGACACCCCCTCTTTATGAGTGCCCCCCATGACACATGCATCGAATCCAATCAGCTGCCTGTGGTCCCTCATGTTCATCTTCCTTCCCAATGCATTTCTCAGAGTGTCGTGCGAGACCCCTCTTGACTCCAATAGTGATGGCACTGTGTTTGAGAGGCCAAAGGAGAGACCTATAGCCAGTGAATCAGACTTATCAGGCTTATTAAGGACACTTACATTCAGTCCAGTGGTGGCAGGCTGGACAGGATTCCACCATTTGAAAAAAGATGCAGTTTATATAGTATTTTCACTAAGCTCCTTTCTCTTAGCAACTTCCACCTGACAACCTTTGTTTAACCCAAAACAAAGTGCCTCCGTCCTCTGGACAGTCTGCCCATTCAATGAGATGGGCTGGGGGTTCTGATGCTCCTCATAGATACGGAATGAATCTCCAGGTTGGCCACGCCCGGATTCTTCAGCACAGAACTCCAAACACACATTTGTCTTAGACCGTAGGGTCATTCTCAGGGTTTGCTTATGTTAGTTATTGCTGTTAGATGCATCTGCCATTCACAGAGGCATATCTTCCTCTGCCATTCACTGTTCAACCTCCAGTTCAGCTCTTCCGGCTCTTGTGCCTTATTTCAATAGCTAACCGGTCTTCTTGATTCCTGTATCTCTCCATTCTTGTCCCCTGTATACACTGCTGCCCATTTACTCCTCCAAAAGGTAACTCTGATCTTGTTCCTCTGCTCAAAACTTTTTATTCTCTCCCCATTTCCTATTGAATCATTCTAAAACTCCTCATGTTAGCCTTCAAGGCCTTACACGATTTAGCCCCTACCTGCCCTCCAGCCTCATTTTACATTGCTCCTCTATATGAGCCCAGTACTTTGACCCAGCTGGACTGCTGGACTGTCTGCAGTACCTTGAAATGATCTACGTTTTCCCACCTCTCAGCCTTTGCTCACACCCTGGCCCCCACCACTTTCAAGTTTCCTTTCTTTACCTATAAAATCTGACTCATTTTTCAAAGTGCATCTCAACCGCCACCTCCTCCAAGAAATCTTTTCCGGCCTCCCGTGTCGGCCCCCGTGACATTTTGTCCTTCTCCAGCGGTGCTCACCTCAACCTCTCTGCTTATTATCAGTGTCCTTGTCACATCACTCTGCACATGTTCATAAACTCTTTGACAGCCAGAACCATTTTGTATCCCTACAATGCCCAGGACAGTCACTTGCACATAAATACTTGTTAATTCAACCAAGCTGCTTCCCCTACCAACCCTATTCCCATTCAATCTCACTTCATGTGTCAAGGTTGTTGATTTTATTACCAGGAAATCATCTGCATATTCCTGCCTGCTTTGCTCACCATGCTTGATATCTCAGATTTAGAGGTAAGTTAGACTTTAGACTGGCTTTTAAATATCCCCAGCTGATTCTACTACTGCAGCTGATGCCTGTAACATTTATTTATAACTTTGCAAAATTGGCAAGTGGTTAAAATATATAAACCCAAAGGGGGCTCGTGCATTTCCAATACATTAAGGTATATTTAAAACATGCTGTGTCTTATCGAGGCTTTAAAATACACATTACCACAGGAGCAGGGAGGACGGGAGCAGGGTAATTGGCTAATGAGAATTCTGAACAGTGACTGGAAATATGGCAGAACTGCCCTTTGAGAACTGTGCTCGCACCTATTAATGAACTTTATCCACGGCTCTAAAACACAGCTCTGTATTTCAAACACAAACCCAGGAGGCTCTGCGGCATGAATGCTGTTGCATTAATTCACACCTAGTTATGGTGACTGGCACCAGCCTTCAACACTGGTCAGAAGAAACCTGCTGCAAAGCCTGAGAATAATTACTAAGGCTGGATTTATTTGATACCAGGTGCCAGGTGTTAATATGGAAGGACTTGTTTTTCTAACTTGAAGCACGTGCATATACCAGGGGAAGAAGACGGGGATGAGTGTAATGGTTGGCATGTTCACAGTCATACTGCATACTGCATACATGTTCACGTTCTGCCATTTAGGAAGGGCCATGACACAGGAGAAAAGGGAATGATATAGGAAACCCAGTGACCTTCGGGCCTGGATAGGAATCCAGATTCCAGACAGGGTCTCCCAAAATTCGGGGCCCTGCAATGAATATTCACACTGAGAATAGTCCAAGTCTAAGCCCACGAAGACCGTGAAGTTTCACCGTTGTTCGCATGTCCTAAAAAATAGCCATGCTCTTTATAATGGTAAGGGAGAAGTCAGCTTCCCACGGAACCTCTACATGGTATTTATCCAGAGAAGGAATATCAAGCTAGATTGTCCAGCTGCACTTGCCTTATTTGGAGCTGTTTGTTCTGCTTGCAATGACTTCTTTAAGTGTCCCCCACATCTACATGAGTAGACAGCTGAGCGCCATGTTTGTACATCTGCCTCACACTTTGGTGACAGATAATTACATTGGGGCAGGCACCTGGGCCAATTTGCTTAACTGATTTTCATTGTTGCAACTCCCACCTCTTTGCTGATGATTCCCGACCCTTTCTCCAGCCCATTTCTCTCCCTAAAGGTTCAGGCTTGCGTATTTCATTGTCCACTGGATGGACCCATCTACCTGAATGTCCCACAGACACCTCATGCAACAAGTCCAAACACAACTTATCCTTTGCCCATACCTCCCAAATCTGGACACCTAGTTCTGCTGACTTTACCTCCAAAATATTTTTAAATTCATTCCCTCCTTCTCCAACTCCCATTTTAGGCCTGTGGCCTACGCTCCTGCAACAGCCTTCCAGCTGACCTCCCTGCCCCCAGCTTTGTCTCCACATGGATTTAGCACACGCGAATCTAAAACACAAGGTGGCTCTCCCTGAGCTTTTATAACCTGTATGCTCAAACTCCTTCCCCTCCTCAACATGTCCCTAGCATTTACAAACCCCACTTCGGGCTTCAGCCTGCTTCTCCATCTCCATCTCTGTCTCCCACCACTCCCTGCTTGGTGCTTCAGGCTCCAATAATACTGGATTGCTTGCACTTCTCAGCAGATGCAGCTCTCTATTCCCGTTAGTCCATCTCACCTTCTCTAATGAACTAATTCCATCTCAGCCTTTAAGACTCCACTCAGTGATTACCTCCTAGGAGCCTTACCTGATTCTCTGCCTCCAGAAATTGGCTGGAGCCCCTTTTCTGTGTGCCTGGACACACCTCTATCACTGCAATGATCACATTGTAATAGAACGCTATTTTCAGGCTTGGTTGACCCAAGAGACTGTCAGTAACTTGGCAATAAAAGACTGTACATATTTCTTTACTCTTTGTACTTCCAACACTTGATAAAATATTTTAGAGTGGGTGTATGAACAAGTGAATGAATGATTCATTGTGCCATAGGTATAAGAAAGGAAAGGAGCCTATGTCAATGAATAGGAATTTTAGAGGACACTGGGGCCCCCGAATCTTGAAATTGTATGCTGGAGAGGAGACAATGTTCTTGAAACTTGCTTTCTGTGGGAAATCTGATGGGAGATCCTGGAACCTGTCAATTCTGACCGTATGAAAATTAGCCAGTTCATCTTAAGGCCGGAAGGAGTGCTTGTTCAGTACCAGGTGGTAGTCAAGTAGAGCAGGGTCTCCCATCTCCATTATAATACAGGGAGGTAGAGACAGAAGAGGTACTGGGGCACGACCACACAGGCTCCATCACTAATTCTTCCATACGTCCTTTGGAAAGCTGCGTAACCTCTCTGAGTCTCGGTTGGAGTAATATTCCTGCCACCCAGGCCTGTTGTGGGGACTGAGTTGACGGGTGAAGCACTCAGAACAGTGCTTGGCACCCAGTAAATATTTAACAAATGGCAGCTGTTATTCATAGTAGGCAACAACTCTAAAAATTAGCAGCTCTTCCTCCTGTTAGTTGCATGTCCTTAAATCAGCATTTCTTGAGCTCTGCCTATGGTCATTTTAGGCTGAATAATTCATTGTCACTGGAGACTGTCCTATACAATGCAGGATGTAAAGCAGCACCCCTGGCCTCTACTAACTACTCCCCTACCCTAGTTGTGATGACAAAAGAGTCTCCAGACACTGCCCAGTGTATCCCATGGAGCAAAACTGCCTCCGGTTCAACTTTCCTTAGAGAAGTGGGTAACCTTTATTGTTTTGGCTTTATCATCTGTAAAATGGGGAAAATAGTACAGTTTCCTGACTGACACTTAAAAGCGTTATTTGAATAAGGTGTTGATAAAGGATGTGGTATAACTTCAAAGTGCTTTTCAAATATAAAGGAACTGATTTGACAGACTTTGCCAACTTGAATTTTTAACAGAAAAGCCAATATAGCACCTTCAAGCTACCATCCCTCCCCAAATTCTCCCAGAATCTCTGAGACACTAAGGCCATGGGGCCAATCCTGCTTTTGAAGACCAGGTGGAGGACTGGAATGTGAGATTACTCCACCACCATCATTGCGGTGATGGGCTGCCACAGGGCATCACAGATGAATGCCAGTCTTGCACAGTCATGGACACGAGACCACAGTGATACCTGCACTGGGCTGCAGTGCTGTAGTCTAGAATTCTCCCTGAAATGCAGGCGGCTGTTGAGACTGGCAGATCTGGAGGCCTGAGCACCTCCTACCTCTCCTGCAGTCATGGTTTCGTCATCCCACACTGCTGTTGCTAATGTTTTCTCTTGCAATAAAAACAAGACAAGTCATTATTTTCACCTCAATTTAATTAAGATCACAGTACAAGGACCACAAGCAACCAAAACTTCAAAGTGTCTACCAAGGATTAGTGAGATCTTTATCCAGTCAGTACTTCCTGGACCCGGCATGTGGTCAGAAGAGAATGCACCAAATATTCTGCACAAATGATGCAACCAAATCTGCATGATTCTCCCTTTATCTCCCCTTTTCAGGAAGCTTATCAACAAGAAGCTATTACGGGACAGACACATTTAGACAAGGACCCCCAAGAGATAAGCATCACATCACAACCCATCTTTAGAGGGGCTCCTGACTTAATAGTGATCTCTGTTAAGGTTATTCTTAGATGCTTTACTATCTTTCCCAGTATATATCACTGGACTAGTAAACCAGCAGCCTGTGCTGGGCAGCCAAAGTCAAGCCCAGATCACTAGCTCAGACTGCCTTTGTCCTGGTGTGCTTCATGTTTATGCTTTCAGCATCCCTTCCTTCAGCTTGACTTTGTGCAGGACCATTCCATACACCTTCAAACTATTCTCAACTTTGAATCTTAGAGAGCCTGGGGTCTCTCTTTCTTTCTTTTCAGGAGACCCTGGGCTCTTAAAAAAACCTGGCCCAGCTGAGTGCAGTGTCTCATACCTGTTATCCCAGTGTTCGGAGAGGCTGAGGCAAAGGGATTGCTTGAGCTCAGGGGTTTGAGACTAGCTTGGGCAAAATGGCAAAACCCCATCTCCACAAAAAGTACAAAAATTAGCCAGGCATGGTGGTGCATGCCTGCAGTCCCGGCTACTCAGGAGGCTGAGGTGAGAGGATCACTTGAGCCCAGGAGGCAGAGGTTGCACTGAGCCAAGATCATACCACTGCACTCCAGCCTGGGTGATAGAGTGAGATTCTGTCTCCAAAAAAA